TTTTTTTTTAGGTTTTTCAGACTTAACAAATAAGCAGGTGGTAACCAGCCTCATTTCTTTGTATGCACAAGTGGTGATCTGGTTCTGTCGATCCAGTCTCCTTCCCGAGGGTTTAGGTAAGCAGAACATGTAGTACCAAATACTTGAGGTTGTGATTTCTGTCCGTCTAATCCAAAGTTTTAGTTAAGAAATGTGGTCTTACTTCTTTTTCTTGCTTTCACTTTATCACCTGTAGATGATCACATGCATTTGTCTAGACCTTTCTACAATTACCCTCTGATTCAGAGCTACTATACGGGTCACCGACAGAAACTCGAGCATTTATCAAGGTAAGACTTAGAGGAAATCCCTAGAATGCTGCCAATGTCAGACTGTGAGAGTGGTTATTTTTGCAGTTACGACCCTTTGTCTGTCTGCACTTCCTTGGCATTACACGTATCAGAGCAAGAAAGCAAACCTGGACCGCAAAAGGTCATTGCAACTCTTCTCTTGGATTTGTGCTTTGGACTCCTTAATGGATAAGTTCATTGTGACCTAAGGACCATCTTTCCTCTGACTCAGAAATCTGTGACCCTGAGAGGCTGGAATGAGTGTTTTACTCTGTCCAAGGCCTTGCTCCCTTTTGTTGCAGAGGAAAATGGGATTCTGACTGCTTGATGATTGATGGAATGGTTTCCCAGTTGGGAGAGCAAGTGGAGAAGTTGTGGCAGAGAGATGAAGGCGGCACTGGGAAATACCCACCTGTTAGTTTACATGTGAGTGTTCTGTTCACTGAAAACCCCAGCAGTAGCAGCAGTCCCCTAAAGCCAATGATTGTGAAAGACAGGAGCGTTAGAAAACCATTTCATCTTTCATTTCAGGCACTGCTGGATCTCTATTTGCTAGAAAGCATTGAAGAAAGTGACAAACATGCAATTGTATCCTTTCCAGATTGTGTTAGTATAGTGTGGGCATATAAATGTTCTTTGTGAGCACATAAATGTATGTCTGTCACTTATGTGGTTAACAATGCTTTTATTTAATGCCTCAAACACAGTGTGAGTGAACACATTTAGAATAAAATTTATTCCTAGGTAGAAACAATGCTTAATTTCCTTCCGGATTAGAATTTTTCTTAGTTCTATTTTAAAGTGTTTTGTTGCAAAGTCTTTTCTCACATGATAAAACATGCTAAGTCGTATTCAAGAGAAAAACCTCTCTTAGTTCTTCTCAAATTTTAACACAGGTACTAGTTTTTTAAGTGTATGTAGCATATGACTGCTTGTTAGAATGATGCCCTAAAATGGGCTGTTTCAGAGGAAAAGGGTTTGTAACAGTGGTTTTCCAGTAGCTGATATTTTGCCAAAATAATTTGTTTCCCAGCCCAGCTAATAGTGTTTGCTTTTTTGTGTACAAAAAGTACAAGCCCACAGAATAATAAAGAGAGGGTTGAGAACAGTCACTGGGTAGAAGCCTGGTTTTTAGGCTGCTGGAACCTACAGACTTACCTTTGTTGTTTGTTGGCTAAGATGTGAGCCTGGAGAGCAAAGGAGTTAAAAATAGTTGTAGTTCCAAGCTGCCTTACTCAGACACGTCCCTGACAGGGGGTGTCAGAAAGGGAAGATGCCACTTAGAGCGAAGGATCCACATGCAGCTTTAAACACAGTTTCAATCAGTCAGTGCTAAGTTACATTGTAAGGGCACCATAGTTTCTGTTGTTTTGTGAGTCAGGAAATGAAGAAAACAAAACAGCTGTAGAACTTGTTTTCTTTAATAATTAAGCATTGGATGTTCAAGTGTGTTGAGTGTCCAACTGGTAGCTCCACTGATGGAAGCAGAAGCCTGAGTTTATAACAGCAGTTACAAATGCCCAGTATCTGCCTTTTTGATTGCCTTACAGAAATCCACAAGGGTTTCTTTCTGGAAGTTTATTCAGATTGCAATTTTGTGATTAGGACCTGACTATTGATATAATAAGTTGTAATAGCTTAAAAGGGCAAGATCAATACATTAGGATTTTCTGCTTCCTATGATTTTCATATTACTATTTTAGTTTGCTAAATGTTGTGTGATATAACTCTTTGGTCTCAGCAATTTATTCACCTTAATGAGATACTCTCAGACAATTTACTTGCTGCTGGATATAATGCATTCCTTTCCAAATAAAACAGAAACTTCAATTGACTCCTTTTCAACTGCCTTTGCTGTCCCTTGGGGTCTTGTTAAGCTGATTCAAGGGTTTTGGCTCCTAGATCACAATGATTATGAAGTAAGTATGAAACAGTTGAGTTAGACACACATTGCCCTGCAGAGCTGTAGTCAATAAAATTACTTTTAAAAATTGGTCCTTAGAATCTGTTGGAGCATTAGAAGCTTTTTTGTAACACTGCTCTGACATCTTCAGCAATAAGTTATGATTTGAAATTTTGCTTTAACTACTTTAACAGAAATTGCTTAAAACAACGGTGTAATCAACTTTAATAATGCTTAATATTTGAATTTTCATAGCTGCCTGTGGTTAGGTTTTCAGCAGACTGGTTGGGCACTGTTTCTAAAAGAGTGTTTTGAGTACTTGAAGCGTGGAAACTGTGATGGTAGCAGGAAGATTTGAGACAAAAGACTGTAGCTGAAAAGTGACTTTTTGACCTAATAGCTATTCTTCCTGATACTGATTGTTGTTCTTGTCATTGTGTCCATACAACCAATTTATTTTATAGCGTAAGTTCTCTAGTAATGTGTTTATTAAAAGCGATGTCTGTACACAGAGTTCTGTGAACTTAGCAAAATCTGAATTGCTCCTCCTAAAACATTCACTTAGTTCAGGGTGGCTGATTTTTTTTTT